ATATGTGTTTGACAAAAAACACCAGGCTATTTCTAGACCTCAACTGACAATGTTGTTTAAATCATCATAATATTGAATATCTAAGTTTTTTACAATTATAAAATATAAAAATGAATGTTTAGAATACATTTAGCAATAGACTTAGAATAAACTTATAAAATTGGATGTGAACTATTCATTCTACATATCAACAAGAGTATGTTCAAATGCTTTATCACACATTTAAGTGAACCATATTTATGGAGGAGAGATTCATTCTTTCTCAAAAGCACATACTTTACTGGTTTACCTTCTGTAAGTATTTTCAGGAAGTTGGGTTTGACTACATTACACAATTAAATTTTTGTGTGTTCCTTTTTCTTCAAAGCATGAATGTACAAAGCAGAGAATCCAATTACAACATGATATGTGCAATTATTACTATCCATCATAGAAAGCAGAAAATGCAGTTTGATAAGCATTAATATAGCCTTTAACTAACTGTATAGCAATCAGTACTGTTATCTCTATGATGAAACTGCAGATTATGATTGTTCTTGTTGCCTTGCACAGAGCCTCCTAACAAGAAAATATCTTAGCTCTATCATAAGATCCTTTTTACATCAACTCAAAAAAGCATCAATAATTGAAGGGGGGAAAAAGCTTCATTGTATCAGAATTCAGAAATGATCATATTTACTTGTTATAATAAACGAATGCACAATATTTCTGCGAAGCAGGTGAGTGAAATCTCTATAGTTCAGTGGATCTTTTTTCTGCCATGCTTGCTTACATGGTGCAACAATCCAATGCTTTTGAGGGCTTTTGAGATTTTGACCAGACTTGGCTTTCTCATTCCCAAGTTCACCTTCCCTGCTGAGAATTTCAGTGCCTGCAAGCAGCAATACTTGCTCTCCATACCCTTTTCTTTCTCTTCTTCTTCTTCCTCCTCCTCCTCGTCTTCTTCATCTTCATCACCATCATTAACTTCACTTTTTGTGCTTTCTTTCACTTTATCATGTTCTGTGTCTTCATAAGTTTCCCAAAGCAAATCCATAGCTTCACTATTCCTACTTCCATCATCCACATTGTGTCTCTCCTCATAAAGCTTGAAAGCTAACGTCCTTCTCCATTCCTTCTCCTTTCTCATTGATCCATAGCTTCTTCCTCGGTAGTCCCAGTATCTATCAGGAGTCCCAAAGTATTCTTCTTCTTCTTCTTCACTGTTGTTTACACTAGTACTGTCTTTAGCGTCAATTATGGTACCACTGCGCATAACCTTGGATCCACTTCTCAGGGTCATTTTTTCTTTGCTTTCCCCTTTATTGGGCTCTGTGTCCAGTGGTTTGACTTCCTTGTCTCTCTTTTGACAAAAGATGTCTTCCAGCTTTGCGTTTTTTCCAACCTTGTCAACATCATCATCTTCCCCACCTGGTTTTTCTTCTAAATTAACAGTAGGATCTTCAATTAGATCCACATGACTTCGACTCCTTCCTTCTTCACCAGAACAGTCAGATTCTGAGAAATCTTCCGCAAGAACTTCATTGCATTTCTTTTCACAGAACTTGTTCTCTTCTGCAATTGGCCTAGCAGCTCTCACCTCACCTTTATCTTTCTCAAAAGGGTTTTCATCAAAACTAACATTTGGCGCTTTTTCCTGTGGACCCACACGATTTATTGATTCTCTTCCATCATTACCTGAATACCCAGATTCTGAGAAATTTTCCTCGAGAACTTCATTGCATTCCTTTTCACAGAACCTGTTCTCTTCTGCAGTTGGCCTGGCCGTTTCCACTTTACCATCATCATCATCTTTCCGAAATAGTTTTTGACCAAAATTACCGTTTGGCTTATTTTCCGTTGGGCCCACATGAGCTCTTGATTCTCTTCCTTCTTCACCTGAGTACCCAGATTCTGAACAATGTCCCTCAAGAACTTCAATGACTGGTGCTCGGAACACATCAAGATATGCTTGAACCTCCTCAAAGCACCTGATTTCCTCATCATTTTCGTCATTCTTGGAGTAAAGCTTTCGAGCTAGAGATTCAACAACTGAGAGAAGAAAACCCAATTTGGAGTCAGAACTTCGAGAATAATCATCATTGCCATGATCAAGGTTGGGAGGAAAGAGAGCGAGAAGGAAGAGTGTGGTAAAGAACAAAGGAAAAAAGGAACAGAGGAGGTAAGGCGAGAGAAAGATGAAGAAAAACATGTTGAACAAATGAGAAAGAAGAAGAAAAAACGATATCTTGTTGGCCTTTCTGGAGCTTGAGAAAGAAAACTCAGACATTTTTCTTTTCTTTTGAAGAGAGTAGCACCAGTAACAATGGAGCTTGAAGGGAAATGGAAGAAAGCGCGAGAAAATGTAGAATGAGGATTGTGTAAAAAGAAAGTGGCGAAGATGGAGATTGAAGAAGAAACGGCGTGAAAAGAGGAAAGACAGAAACTGGCAAAGGGCATATCTTTGTGAATTTGACTGATATCATTCTTTTGCAATCAGAATCTTTCTATTTATCGAGCTTTACTCGTGATTCCATTATAATTATTACAGCATAATTTTCTCGCATTGCCTCAAATTCGATAAAAACAAATATTTAAATATGTTAAAAATATATTTGCTTACAAAATTAAGAATATCATGGATAGTTTTTAAATGGTTGATGTAACGATGCTGCGAAAACTATTATTAGTAGATTTTTTTTAAAAAAAAATTACAGATGCAGAATATTTTCGTGGCACTGGCAATATTAAAAAATCTAAATTAGAATATTTTATTACCTTTTATCAATTTTGAAGCTTTAAATGTAAATGTTTTTTAGTCTAATTTTTTTTAATTTTGTTTCATGTAATTTTTTCCCCCTTGCACACTATAGAAATGTCGAAATAAATTATGAGAAAACGTCATTTATTCTTTATCAAAAAGAAAATTCCAAGAGCTTTTGTCATCAATTTTTGTAAACTTAGAGATATTTTGAATTGTCTGAAATTATAAGAAACATTTTTTTTAAAAATAAAATCTCTCATAAAATTCACATGTATAAAAACATTTTTGAAATTTATATTAGAATTTAATCGCAAGTCTTGCATGAGTCAATGCAAATCAAATATATGACACAGCGGTCAAGAATTATGAAAAATAGTTACCCAAAATATACGTTTGAAAAAGGAAAAAAAAAAAATACTCACTTGACTTTTTTTTTTATTAAAGACTTTGATAAGTAAATCAAATCAAGAACTTTTATGAACATTGATTTTATACTTATGGTGGAAAAATTTATTGCGTTTATATATTTTTTTTAATGAAAACTGAAAATCATATCTCAGAAAAAGAAAATACAAGAGCTCAAACCTTATCTTTCATCAACCTCCACTTGTTGGACTAAGAGGAGGAGAATGATCAAATAGCTCAAAAAGTTATTGTGTTTATATTTTCATAACTAAATTGGTATCATTTAATATTCAATATTTACCATTTAGAATGAAATTTCATTAAGCGTACTTGTTATGAAGACTTTAACTTAATATTTCCCGCCGGCCAGAGATTAGTCTTAAATTCAAAGTGATTTAAGAATACTCTAAATTATATTAAAAAAATTAAGTTTAATTATGGTATAAATAATTACGTGTTTTTATAAATAAATTATTATGGATAATTTTTTTCCAGTTTTGTGACAGTCATTTAACATGTTACACTATCAATTAATTCATTTAGCGTGATTTTTTTAATTTATTGAAAAAAAAACTCAAAATCTTATTTAGGAAGGATAAATCCATGGGAGAATGACGCATAAGTACTATTAAAAGGGAAAAATGATAATAAAAGACCATCAATTTGAGAAACAACATAGATATACAAACATTTAACTAAAAAATAATTGAACAAAAATCCCTTTATACGGTTGGCAAAATATAGCTTGGTTGTAAATTCCCAAAGGTCAGTTCCAAATCTCACAATTGCAAATATGTTATAAGGGGCAACTCGTAAAAGTTTTATAAAGCTAGAAAATGTAGCTGTAAATACCAAAGTTCAGTTGTAAAAGTTAGAAGATTAGTTGTAGGAATTTTTTACAACTGAACTTTTATGATTTACAATTATATGGTTGCAAATTTTATAAAAATTTCACAATTGACAACCCATTTGCAATTAATCTTTCATAATCTCTTTATTTTTATGTTTTAATCTTAGTCCTTTTCTGCCATTTCATAACCTCATGTCTTTTAATAATTTTTTTTTTATGAATGATCAATCGTCATAAAAAAATGTTAATATAATAAGGTACAGCTTCTGAAGTCTGGGAGAGTTGTTTGTTAACTTTTAAATATAATGGAAAATATTTGCAAACGGCTCCTTACTGACTTGAAGTTCAAGAATTTCATATAATTTAAGTCATACAAGTCATTATGGTGGGCAAAGGCAATAAAAATGAACAACGGAGAAGATTTGGCATTGTTATTATGATAGATTTGGTTTCACAATGTTTTTTGGCCACCGAGTTGGTTTCATAATGAATTAAAAATTATTGATTTAAAATACTTTAAACTTTACTTGAACCATTGAAGAATTCCATAGTTGTGTGCCCTCTCCATCCCGATTTGTAGGTCCTGATTTTTATTTCCATTTTGTCCCTAAACATCAATTTTGATCCAAATTTCTAACTATAATTAACATTTATTTTTAGTATCACTCTTATTTAAAAGGCTTAAATTATTGTAGTGTTAAATGGAAAGAAAAGAGTAGTTCTCACAGGAAAGGAGCACCATGAAACGCTCTCTCTAACAGCCTCTCCCTTCCACCAATGAAGCTCATGGTATAATGCTTGAGCTTATAATGCCTACAACATTACATAATTCTGTGGCACGACCTAAATTCAATAATGATTCTGACTCTCTTTTCTTTTGGCATAAGCCAAAACTAATCCTAACTCCTTGAATTCTTAGTTATCAACTTAAATAAATAAATAAAATCAGATGCTTAGTCTTGCAAGTTGCAATTAATAGCACCGCTAAGTGGACATAACTTCTAAAGCAGATTAATCTAGACGACAATCTTCACTCTAAGTGTTGCACAAAAACATGTTCACAAATTCAATACAATAAGGTCAAAACATTAAAAGCTTCCAAAGCAGCCATATTCACCATTACAACCACTTAAAACACTCTCACATTGTATTTCTAAATGCAAGTGAAGCTGTTTCATTCAGTCATAACAGGTTTGTTCTCATTGGCTTTGGGTTTCTGTTCTTTTGGTTTCTGCTCTTCCACTTTCCTGAAATAAAAAGCAAAAAATATTAATTCAAAAGTAGATCTCCAAAACAGGATCAATACCAGCAAAACATCTCATCACAACAAAAAATATATCACAAATTACAAACACAATTCAATGAGTCAAACATTTTGAGAAGCCCTATTGATCAGAATTCAATTTGCTCACTGAAATCATATACTCACAGTGTGGAGTCATCCAGTTCAAAGGTCAAGTTTCACTCATCATTATGCACACAATGGAAGAGAGATGATATGATAGTGGTGCCATTTAGTAAAAGGAATTTGTATCTCATCAACCCTTCCACTGTCAAGTCATCACCAGATGCAGAAGATAACTGCAGAGATAAATCTAACAAAACTAGTATAAGCCACAGAAAATACTCTCTCCAGACCTAAATGTAAGACCTATTTTATAATTTAAATTACATAACAAAATGGATCTCATATTTAGGACAGGAGGAGTATTTATCAAGGTCTCGCAATCATGTTTGGCTCAAGGAAACCAATTGAAGTCCTAATGCAGTATTATTCTAGTGTTGGGTGAATGCAACAAAATCTATTGAGGAGAGCGCCACAGAATAACAAAAGGTCAACCTAAAAACGAACATCGTTCATAAGCAAGTGAAGTGCAGCAACCATATGCATAACTACATATTGCCTCTTGCGGTAACCCCAGGTGCAAACTGATTATACAATCAAGTGAAGGCTAGGAACAATAATCATTTCCCTGATTACAAGCTTACAACTCCAAACTTTCACGTAAAAGAAAGAAACACATTATCTTAGGTTTAAACAGATTAATTTGAACGTTAAACTAGGTACATAGAAATATGATGATAGTACCATCAATTTCTTCCAACTTTCACATTTCAACCAATATAACTATATGCTTAATCAAAACAACTTTTTCCTGATCCATCCACAGATTTCAAGACAACAATCAGAAATAACGTTTCCGCTCAATCATGGTTCATTTTTCATAATGAAGCAAGTCACCAACCGCTCATTAAACCCAACAAGCAGCCAGTTCCTAAGTCCTAAAATTCGTCATCTAACATTCAAGGTTCTGACAACAGACCAACATTTGTAAAAAATTTTCACAAGCCTCATCTCACTTATGGTTCAAGGGAAACGGAGGAGAAGGAAGGGGAGGGAAATTTTTGAAGATCTCGATTTAAAAAATTAGAAAAGTGGGGTTATAAAATTTTTAAAAGAGCAAACAAAAGTAACTTGAATTTTTTAACTCCACTTCTCCAATTCTTTAAATTAGGCTCATTAAGATTTTCCCTTCCCACTTAAAGTTTCGATTCTTAAAAAATTCTGCCACTCTAACAGAAGATAACTATTTTAAGAGCTATCTAAACCCAGTCGTAGAAGAATAAGACATAGCCACTCAGCCAAAACAACCAGCACACCTACTTCCATCCAAAGGAACATAAAATGAGCCTAATAAGTGATGAGTGCGAAACAGGACATCAACACGTATCTGATAGTGTCTACGATAAGATATATATATATTCTCTAACCAAGCGAGCAGAGCCCATATAATATTTGAGGGGAAAAATACGCAATTAATTCTAGTTTGCTCCTTCTTGAACAGTACCTTAACTCAAACCAAAGTTTCAACGAGAAAAGGAGAAGACGACAAACCTCTTGTCTGAGGAGCCTCCCTTCTGACTTAGGAAGGATCGGAAAAGAGGAGAGTTAACGTCGTAGATCATTGTGACTCCGATGATTTCCTGACAGCCAACGATTCAAGCTTAACCCTAGTTCTCCCCCAGCGTCGCCGAGTTTCTACAACCACCGTTTACACCACGGCGTGGTAAATTTATAATTGAGGATCGCTAGCGGGTCGAATTTACGGGTCAATTCGCTCGGAAAAGTTCTGATCCGTTTCCAATATGGGCCTTGAAGCTCAATGGGCTTTCATTCTAGGCCCAAATGAAAATACCTACAGAAAAATATGACAGTCTTCAACTCCCCTAGTGACAAAACAAGATTTACCAAAAAGACTTTAATAGGAGGATATTTATGTACAGCTAAAAAAAATTTATCAAAAGATTTTAAGAAAGTTTGTAGTAAAAAATTTAAGTAAGTTTCTTGAAACTATAAACTTCTGAAAATTTGATAATAATTTTGTGAAATTTTATAATATTTTCCAAAATTCACATGCAAATTTAAGGTGATTTTTTTAATTGTATGAGGGCATGACTTTTTTCATCGCATATAATTTGTTCCGTTAGTTATATATACTTTTGTAATTCTATTTATAAGTCATTTATAATATGTTTTTCCAGACCTAAAATTTTTTTAAATTCTTATTAACTGTATCTTAAAATTTAATAACTTTTTAACTTAATCTCTATTCAATATAATAAAGAAAATAATAACTTTTTGCCAACTTAAGAAAATAATAATTATACAATAATAAATGAATGAAAGAAATAATATATTTATATTAAAAATTTAATGAAGTCACTTATAATAAAGATTTGCTTAGAATTGGGATGGGATTCTTTCATGTAGCTTTTTAAATGATAATTTACGAAATACAAGATAAATATATAAGAAAAGTTTTGTGTTGATTTATATCAAAGTGTTTATAATGCAGGTACAAACAAACGCTAAATCGGATTAAAAAATATTATCTCTACCTTATAAATAATATCTGAAGAGATATAATCAAATAAAAATAAAGATGATATATTTAGGCATTTGACGCAAATTTCATTTATTATGTATAAAGTTATATATATATAATATTCATGAAATTTTTGATAGATTTTAAGCGGATCGCTTGGCTTCAGTTTTTTGCCAACACTTGGTTCAAGTTGATGATTGAATATTCAGAATCATAGCCAGAGTGACCGATGAATGGGCTCTCGAAATTGACGAGCAACCCAAAGTTCAATCCGAATTTGCTTGCTTCAGGGAAACACGGAATAGTCATAAACCCACACACCTAACTCCACCGGTATTTCTGGACAATCGCAAGGGCATTACCGACATTTCACTGTGATGGTAACCACCAGCTCAGCTTAACTTTGCTACGTTGGTTTTTCACCTTTTCAACCTACTCTCTTACGCTTTCTCTAATCACACGACACAACCACACCACGACCACCCTTTTTCATCTCTCATAAACACACACACGCTCACAACAACAATGACAAGGTGGTCGATCATTTGATGCATGACGCACAACACCTCACAACATAATACAACATAACACACAGTGCATAATATCCCATACCCTTACCGCCACCTTCTTCTTTCCAAAATTTTTAACCCCACTTTGCCTCCGCCACAGATTTATGGTCACCCCATCTTTCAGGTACGGACAATGAACGCTTTTTCAAGTCTTCTTCCCTCTTCTCATTGGTTTGGTCTCCTTGCTTTCATCAAGGTCCTTCCTTTGTTTGATGTCTGGTGGTGCGTTTTCTTGTCGCCGGCGTTCTGCGTTGACGGCTTTCGAAGATAATTAGACTTTCTCTTTCTTTTCTTGGCTTTTGTGGGTGTTTATTGGATTTTGTCTTGCGGCTTCTGTGAATGTGGGTATTTGGCTTGTGTTCTGGGTCTGTTACCCATTTGCAGGAAAAAGGTGGTAGGTTGATGGGGTTGACTTTGACCCAAGCAAAGAGATTTGGAGTTCTTGTCGAGGAGGAATTTCAGTGCGTCAATATTGTCCTCAATTTTCACAATTCCATTTTAGATTACGGGTCTGTTGTGATTTCTGTCTGCAATTTGCAGTGTCAGCTTTTTTTCGTTTTTCTAAACTTCACGGAAGAGAGTTTATCGTCGGTGAGCTTTCAAGTGTTGATTACTTTTCCCTGTGCTCAAACTACACTACTGACTTTTATCGTTTGTGCTTGTTAGATTCGTATCATGCTAATGTTTGTCTTCATTTTGTTGGTTTCTTTATGTCATGTGTTTGGGGATCAAGGTGGCCCAAGAATTGAAGCGATTTATCTTTCAATTACTTCTCTTGTGCTTCATATAACTCAAAACAAGACCAATTTTCTGCTATAATATATATGAGAATTGCTTCTTCACTGTTTTATTGATGATCTCCTTCTTTACTATATTTGCAACTTTCTGATATTAATGTACTTATGTTGGTACTGGAAGTAGGTAAAGGCCATATATCTTGATGAATAGGCAGGTCCTTTAAACATACCTTTAGTCATTACTCAATTTTAGGGAATATTTTGATAATTTGATGATTGCATTGTCAAATTTTTCCTTGATAGTTCTAATTTGATGTCTTCATCTGCCTCAGGCTATGTTGTTTTTATAGCTACTCTGCCTGTTCTATCTAAGAAAACAGCTTGTTATCATAGGAAGGTTGTGAATTAACCATATTGCTTTGATGACTTACTAAGAAGATTGGAGCTAATCATGGTAAGCTTGAGAAGGCGCAGACTTTTGGGGCTATGCTCAGGTAAATGTTGATATAAGTGCTTATATATCATAAACTTCTGTTTGAAAAAGGAGAAAAAGCCATGCTTTTGAACTCTTGGTCATTTAGAGTCTTTTTTATGACTTTTATCTTAAAATTCAGCCGACAATTTGACCAATACGATTGGATCTTTGTAGGAACCAGTTCCTTTGTTACTCCACTTCCCCTATATTGCGAAAACCTCACTGCTTCTCAAGATTCAGCTCAGCATGCTAAACCTAAGATTGCCCAATCTGACAATGGAATTGAAAGCATCCTACGTAGTGTAGGAACTCAATTACTAAAGGTAAGTTGGTGTGATCTTCTTTGCTTAATTGTGGGGTCAATTTTTATATGATATGTTGCGTGTGTGAGCTATGTATCATTAATACATAATTTGATTTCGTATACACCATATTCGTCTTTTCCTTTGAAAATATTTAATATTAGAAGATGACAGAAGTCAGAGGTGCTGTGTATCATTTTGAGACTTATGGCTGTTCTTTAGTGGTCGGGCCTGATAATGAACATTCTTCTCAATTTCTGTCTCTGTGCTCCAACTATGCCTTATAGTCAAATTGGCTGGACAAACTCAATTTCCAAAGTCCAAGCTGTTTAAATTTTATCCGTAAAGGGTTCTTAAAAATAGGTGAGAGGATGAATGGTGAAATTTCATTAAACAGGTAATATAAGAAGCAAAATATCATAGTCACCAATCTGTGCACTTGGGCATATTGATTGGCACTTGGGCATATTAGACAAGCCAGATCATAAGTGTGCAGATGTTAGATTTTCACTCCGTCCTTACCATTTGTTTTGATGTAAAAGACCAAAGAAGAAACTATCTTTATTTTTAAAATTGAGATGAAGGTCCTAAATTCTTAACCCATCAGTCTTTCCATATGCACAAAAACTTTATTGAAGTAGCATTTATTAAATGGATTTCACAAAAACTTGCATTTACTTTATTCAAAAACTATCGTTATTGAATTAGCATTTATTAAATGGATTTCACAAAAACTTGCATTTACTCTTCAAAAATGTTATGTTCTTGATATATTTTGGAACTTTTCATTTCCTATTTCTGGGAACTTAGACTAAACTCTGTTTGATTTTCCCAGCAGAATCCCATTGTGAAAGAAGAACCAGCTTCCTCAAATGTATCTGGTTCTAGCTCGTCAAAGGAGCGGTCTAGTCAGCAGTTCATTGGTTCGTTGTTTAAGACACTCATTTTTTTCATTCTGTTGGTTGTGTCAAATTTAGCTCATGATAACTTAGCTGATTTAGCTTATCTTCTTGAAAGCGGTATTTTTATTTTTATGTCTCCATTTAATTTATTCCAGTGATAATAAATTCACGATCTTCAATTTCATAACATTAATTTGTCTGAAATAATTACATGCCAAGGAGAAATAGTGGGTTTTGACTTAGAGTGGAATAGTTATTTTTGAGTGACATCATGAATACATAATTCTGTGCAAGTCAGCATATCTGATTAATTTGTTGGAAATTGCATCAAACATAATTGATCATTGATCAATGGGAAGCATTATCACTGCAAGGCGAAGATCAATACAAAACTATAGGGATAGAAATTGCCTCAAGGAGGCGCTCTGGTGCCTGTCAGTCTTTGAGGGAGATGATCAGGGTAGAATTAGAACGGTAGCTAGTAAGCACATGTGTAGCTGACGGGTGAATCAAGAAGTCTATGTCTTCCTCTCGATGAGGCATTTCCACTGTGAACACTTTCACTCTCCAGATGTTCCTTGAAGTGGACCATTGTTGGATGGGAATCATAGCAAGCATAATGCTATAGCAGGATTCTTTCATTAATTAGGCTGATGTTGCTAGGGGCGTAGCCCTCTATCCTCTAGTGTGGCCTTATGCTTCTTGTTGATTTGACCTTGTGAGACAGTTACTGATCTATTTTTCACTGGGAATCTTAGAGAACACCTGAAAAAGAGCTTATTATGTTTTTGAAAATAGAGTGTATTTTCAGTGTCTACGCTGCGTAATCATTTGAAAAGAAATTGTACAATTGTTCCATATGTTTAATATATTTGTCTATTTTACATCATCCTCCAAAACCAGACTCTTTCCAAAGTTGTGTTGCTAAATAAGTGCCTTCTTCATGAAATTTTTTATTCACTCACCTGCTTTGTATCTACCAAAGATACAATGAGTTCCCCTAAAGATGTCATTTTAAATTGAGTTTACCTCAGTAACTTGGTCTAGGAATTTAACATAAAAAAATAGAGAGCACTATATTTAAAATGCATATGAAGATAAAAAAAGGTTGTTAGCTCCTGGAGTAGCAGGGTAAATGACTATGAATAGCCTGGTAAAAGTTGCCTAATGAGCTGGTTTCTTGCAGTTTGTCCACATTGGGTCTGATTATTTATGTCCAATTGGAGCCTATCTAATTTGACATTATTGCTGGTAGGCACATTTAAATTTTCTACCACATATTTAGACAAAGGTCTGAAGAATAAGTTTAATCATTTGTGTTTGAACTAGACATGAATAACTGTGTCATTGGGCTATTATCTAACCTATCCCATTTTGACCTTTTAAACATGATTGAGCGTTATTGATGCAATGAGTATATCAATTTCATTAAAAAATCATTTTTTTGTTAGGGAGATATGAATTTAAACGTAACTCATAATAACGATAATCAACAAGGTTCTCCCTGTATGTCCTTTATTCCACACTATGAGTGTTTGTATTACTAATCCAAGTGCTTCATGACATGATGGTCTCTCTCTCTTCCAAGGCAGCATGTTGCACAAACCAAGGCAAATGATTTGGTGAATAGCAAATTATTCCTTTTATTTTTCAGCAATTCATTGATAAATTGTCAGAGGGGAACGGAATAGAGAAACTTTAGAATGATGATCTAGTTTCATCATTAGCAGATCTGAATTCAAGCGACACTTTTTTGGCTTTACTCGCCAGGGTCTCATTTTTGGAGTAGTGTTGTTTTGGTGTTTTTCCTTTGTCTTTGGTGACATTTTTCTCTTATCTATTTTAGTGACTGTTGATTCCAACATTATTGGTACTTTGCAGGGCCTCCTATTAAACGCAGAAAGCCACATAGGAGAAAGCATATGCATAGTCAAGAATCATGTGTAATGAGAGGTGTCTACTTTAAAAATATGAAGTGGCAGGCGGCAATTAAAGTGGACAAGAAACAGATCCATCTTGGAACTGTTAATTCTCAAGAAGAGGCCGCTCACCTATATGACAGGTATTACTTCAAATAATACATTGTTATCAACTATGGCTGTCTCTTCAGGTAGCTTTTGAAGGCTTTTTGTTTGGAGATGTGGCTTTTGCTTCTAGTCCTGTTTGACAGAAAAAGTCATAAATTGATCTTCGGTAATTCTTTATTTTTATGGTTGTCAATAATACAGAATATCTTAAAAAGCTTTATTTGCATTAATGCTAACATTATTCTTTCCTTGTCTAAATTTTTGTGTTTTTAGGGAAATTTTTATACTTGGTAATATTACAACACCTTTCAACTAACAATTAATGTGATTCTCAACCTCTTTGGATGCATTTTTTTTTTCTCTGAACAAATACTTAAATGTAATTCTATAGCAACTTACAGCTATCACACAGTAGCTTTTGGAAAGCTATGGCTTTTTCAAATGTGAGTCATAGTAAGAACATGCATTTCAGCTAGTTGGTACCATACTGCCAACAGATTGATGCTCTTGCTGATTAACTTTTATATGAAACATTTATGGTGCCCACCGAAAGGAAATACAGAATTCATGTGTAATGTGTTTTTATGGTTAGTGCCTTTCTTAGTTAGATTGTTGAAAGCCTCCCATGAGCAGTATCATTCTGCATAACATTTTTTCATTAATTTCTTTAAAAAAAAAAAAGCATAGATCAGTAGATGGCTAGCTTTGGACAAGTAAAATGATATTGGATTGTGGAGGGGGGAGATTTAATAACTTCTGTGTTTGAAGATATGGAAGAAAGAATTGAACTAGTAAAAGAAGGTTGCTACCATTGGAACTGCAGTCTGTTTTCAGGCTGTTTATATATAACAGGTTTGATGAAAAATGAACTTCAGACAGATGTATGAAGACAGAAAGTTCAGACATATATTTTTTGATCTCCTCCTATTGTCTTGTTCAAACTTCAATCCATTCCTCAGAAAACTCTAGTGAAGTTTGTCCGCCTACATGTGTTGTTTAACTGGTTCCCAAAACCAATACAATTTTTCTTTAAATTCTGCTAAAATCATGTAGATTTCCCCTCTAATTTTCAAATTAAACAGTTCTTTCCTAGAACGAAGAGTATATTAGAAGTATATTAGAGGAACTACATATCTTAAGTTTTGTTGATATTACACCAATTTTTAGGTGATGCTGATGAAATGTACTCTAAATCTAAAATATACGGTGCTAAATATGTCATGTTAGAGAGACAGGGAAGGAGATTTGGGGATAGTAATATAATTTCATCTTCCCATTTACTATATCATGGAGGTGTTAGGGAGCAGAATTGAGTTAATGGTCTTGAACTCTGTGAAGGGAGATAGAAAAAGGCCTAGAAGGAAAGTTATCAAACAGGCTCTATCAGTGAATGATATATCTAAATAGTCAGTTGTTATCAGAACACAACAGCAATTTATGGAGTTAATCTCATTTAGTGGGATAAAGCTTGTTTTTGTTTTTGTTTTTGTATTTACTATATTATATCACTCGACTTCTTTTCAGGGCTGCTTTCATGTGTGGGAGGGAGCCCAACTTTGAGCTTTCAGAAAAAGAGAAGCAAGAACTAAGTAACTTGCAATGGGATGAGTTCTTGGCATTTACTCGACAATCAATCACCAGTAAAAGTACTCTTCCTCTTTCAACTTATTCTGATATTATATATATATATATATATATATATATTTATATATATATCCAATTCTTCTATTTCCTCAATTATTAACAAGTGTTCCATGAAATAACAGAACACAAAAGAAGACTTGGCTCCAGACAGCGCAGTGAGTCTGAGCCACGTGCATTTCGTGATGGGGACAGTCAGCAAGGCATCGATGCCACCTCAGCTTCCGAAGATGCTGATCAAGAAACCTCGGAGTCATGAAACGCAATAGTTCTAACAGTTCAATTCTAGGTGGGAGCTCCATTTTTATTGTAAAGAAGGGCTGTATTATGCTAGACCTTGATATATATATATATATATATATATATATTTTTCATGATCTCAAGGTAATTAGATTATTATTATTATAGCTTAACCCAATAAAGAGTTTGATTTCTCATGAAGATAAATCATCCCCATTCCATTCAACTAGCTTAGGGCTACTTGCTTCTTCCCCTTCTGGAAGTTACGAAGCATTATTCTCAGCTTGTAGTTTTGTCAATGTACCATACGGTGCATGAACAATTGAACATGTAGCTTTGAAATAATTTTCTCAGCAATGGCTGCAATATAATTTCTTGATTTGTGCGTGTCATCCTGATGTAGAGGTTGTGCTAAGCTTCTCAGTATCGTTCCAATTCTATCGGATGTTTTTAAGGGGCAATAGCTGCGATATTCTTATAGAAAAATTTTCTCAATGTACTAAAGTGAGTGTTTTATTGGGGAACATCAGAAACAAAGATTTTTGATGGATTATCAGTAAGCCTTATGGTGCATTCATTATTGGACAATGTTGGTCAATCATGTGGAGGTTGCCTATTATCATTAAGCTCAAATTTGAATATGATGCTCATTTAACTGAGTAAACTCGGTATTTCATACACTGGCCTTTCATGATTAGTGTAATATTTTTAAAACTGTGTACTATTCCTAAGGACCTAATTGTTAAGTTGATTTTGATCCTAAATATAAGATCTATTTCTTATACTTATCAGTGTTTCCTAAATTACTTCTATGGATACTCCCTTCATTATAATCAAGTAGAAGAGAGAGGGAGGATATTAAGAAAGGTGATTATGGTGTTTTAGGGAAAATGTCATATTTCTTATAATTAACTAATTTACTTAACTTTTTTAATCTAATCAAATTAGTTAAATAGATCTTATATTAAGGATCGGAGGAGTAATTATAATCATTAATAAAATATTTCATTAAACATTTATGACTCTTTTATTTTTTATTTTTAACCTTAACCGTTTTCATCCTCTCCACTCAATGAAGCATTTTAATTAAAGAGTGAGTTTAAAAAATTGTGAAAACATTTGATATTTAACTGGACTTTTTAATTTTAAAGTGGTCAATAGGTGAGAATGACATCTAATATGGTGGCCCAAAGAAAAAGAGGATGACATCTAATATGAATTACCTTTGTTTAATTCGTTTCACGTTTTATTTTTCATTTATAGCTAGAAACTGTGTAGCCAATGCTCAAAATTTTAAAACGCAAATTTTGGAAAGAAAATAATAAATAACAAATCGATAGTGGAAAAATAGTTGCTATGGATTTAAACAGACCCACACATATATATTGAAGAATATGTATTCACCATCAAATTTTTATGAATATATTTTATATTTCTCATGGAGGTTTAGACTCAACTTTCTCAGCTGATTTATTTTTTGATGAGATAATTTGAATACATACACCAACTACAAGTATTCAAAATTTTAAGAATAACCATGTGTGCGTATGTGCACATATTTGAGCTAACTTAATCTTTGTTTGTAATGGGATAAATTGTTCAATAAATTCATCTAATTAACGTATCCCTATCAATAAAAATAGCACCCACTAGCCACGGCCAAAGCAAGTCAATAATTTAATGACAAACTAACAATGTACCAAAACCTACTAGCTGAGACAACACAAGCATGATTTAGATATACAAGGATTTTATCCAGGGAATCAGATCCCTTTAGATTTTGCTATGACAAAGAAGTTTGGGATAAAGCTATTCTATACTTCAATGACCTAACAGGATCAAGTGTCACTACATAAAGAAGGATGTTTCATGAAAGCAGAGACACAAGAGAAACAAACTCCAAAGTGACCCTGCCCTTGGACCTTGTGTTGATGACGAAGTGTTCAGGGTACTTCCTTAATAGCATAAGTAAACCATACCAAGGCTTCCCTTTGGATTCAGGACCAGTCCAGTCCTCCGATGAAAGATATCGCCTTACTCGACTGTGATGCCAAACATTTCCATAGTGCTCCAGCAACTGCACAAGGGAGTTCACATCATCCACCAGACAAGACACATGTGCCACGCATGCATAATGTCTTTTACAAAAGCATTGATAGTCATAAGAATCTATAAAATGTGTGATCTAAAGAGAATCTCGGCAATCGCCATGTGCCTGACAAAACAGTAATCCAAATCTATGACTCTTATGTAAACAGATAAGATGAATAATTATGTCATGCAAAACCAAATCAATACTATAAGCATATAGGTTGAAGACTAAAGTGATCTATTCTATTACTGGGAACAAAATACAAACGTCAACATAAGATTCCGATGTCTGGTGCCAGCTATTAAAATGAAAAAAGACAGTTCTCCCATTATTGTGGCTCTTTGCAAAATCATGAAAGGAATAATGTAACGCAGATACATAAAACATATAATGGTCAGAACTAACCTCTGTGTGAAGTTTCTCCATAGGCATCCATTCCCCAGGACCGCAAAGATCAGAGAGAACAGTAGCAACTGATGATACTACATCCTTTTCTTCCAACTGTTGGAGCTGAAGATTATCAGAATCACGATCCACTCGAGATCTGCCTTCTGCCTTCTTATCTGCAGAAACCGATAATCTCAATGAAAGAATATATTGGAAAGATACAAGAATTGTGAAGCAGAATAGAAGCTCAAATCATATACATAAAACTTAAGCATTCAAACAAAGGTTGTTTTAATTTGAAAAGAGAATACATCAATAAAGAAAAAATAAAAGCTCAGTCATACACATGGCTTCCATGAATTAATATGAAATTGCAAAAAACCTCAATTCTGTTTGTTTGGGTAGACCGGGAATATCCTCTACTAACTAATATCCTTCAATGTATAGTGGACAAAGGACATATTCCTCTACATACACAGGAATTGGAAATTAAACCCCCTATCACTTGCTCAAGAGATGAGAACCAAGCCACTCACGATGCCGATCTAAATGGTAGAAAGTTTGAAGGGAAAAATACCTCAATCCCACGTAAACACATATTCCATAATGGGTAACAGAGACCCATCAATAGCCTTACCTACACTATCCCTTTGTGGCTTTATTGCAATCTCATTACATGTCCTTCACATTGTTATTTTACAAATAAATGCCTCTTCCCTAGCAAAAAGGGCACAAAGTGTTATTTAAATGATTTGTTTAAAATGACACAACCCAATCCCATTCCCAATTATCGTAATTATAGTCAACATTGTCAATTCATGGTCAGGGTTTAAAACTCCAAGCATCATGGTCATTGGACTGGTCCACACCAAATTTCTCCAGAATCGGTTTGAGAATACAGATATTTATAAGACAACCATTGGGGATTCTCCTAACAATCTAACCTTCTAAGAATCTCTTCAATTATGCAGAGAAGATTTCGAGCCTATCCATCCTCTTTCAGAGCAAAAGGTATAGTAGGCCTATGCCTCAAGCAGAGTTCAAGTTCATTGAGCTTTTAAAATGAAGTGTTCATCGATGAAATAGTGATGTCCTAGACCTAGAGCATTGTACGGTGCAAGCAGTGCCCCAAAATGTCACAGCATGCAGCACCTATTATGCTGCAACCGCCATCATTGATATACACTACACAAATAACAATATGCATCATACGCCAACAACATATATTGAACTAAGAAACAGCTTGAGTGAACCATTTAAGGCCATGAAAATGGGCCTAACTCTAAATTTGTAAGTGTAGCATCCTGAGTTGCGCATCTGGCCCCAGCATCTTGGGACAAAAGGGCGAAGCCAAAACATTTTACTGATGCCTAGAGGGTTATCACCTAATTCCCAGCGACTTGGTCTACCCAATTTAGAGCACTGATACACCGGGTATCACAACAGCAGTTCATGCCGGGAGAACAGAAACACGAGTTCAATTCACCATACCAACGATTAGCCCTATACTGACTTTAAACAGAGGAAACATATGCCAGAAAATAACATAACAAGATTTAGTAAAAAGACAAGAACTACTCCACAGGATATATATGGATTGAGGTCAATAGCTTAAAAAATCCAGTAGGCAAGACCATACAAAATTTTCCATACAAACCTATATACCCGTCCTCCTTAGCTTCTTCCCACTGCTACCAGTGCCACCAATGTCATCCTCGTCCTCATAATCATCATCGTAGTAATCCCTCCTTCCTTTCTTCACCAATGCCCCACCCCCAGGGGCAGCATTGGCCATATGATAATTATAGTGCGGCGGAACTGCCCCTCCAGCTGCCGCTGATGAATGATTCACATAATGCCTAGGCCCAAGCGGCCCTCCCAAAATACTCCTCACCGGCAACAGAAAATAAAACTCCTTGTCCCCAATTTGAAGCAAATCTTGAGAATCGAGCTTCACGGGTGGGTTGCCAGGGAGGTGAAGAACACCTTCTACAAGACAACCGTTTTTACCGAGAACCTCGAGGGCGAAACGACGGCGCGTGAAGTCATAGAATATGCGGGCATGGTGGCGGGAGATGTTCATCCCGCCACCAAGGCTGGATAGGTCAACGTCGACGCTAGATTTTTTGGAGTTCCGGCCAAGGATGATGGAATAGGTTTGCATATAGTACTCGAAATCCTCGCCCTGGAGCTTGGCGAAGCCGGCTTCGACGTCGCCGGCGGCCGCAGTAGCCATGTTGAATTTGAGATAGCAGAAGCGGAATTCGGAAAACGGAGAAGAAATTGATCGGAGTCGAAGAAACAGTGACGAACAAGATACGAGAATCAGTCCTCCCGGGATTGAAAGCGATTTTAATGCCTTTGGGAACTAAACGTAAAAATTAGATTTAGTTTTAGGAAAATTACAATTAGGTGTCACTTAAGGGATTTAAATACAAAAAAATCCCTTAAAATTACGAAATTATTTTAAAATCTCAAAAAAAAATTTATAATAAATTTTATTTGTTTAATTATCAAATTATTCTTTTTTTTAAGTTTATATTGACAAATGAAAGAGCGATTGACAACTCAAAGTGCAAGGGTTGACAACTATCGCGGCTGGTTTGACAAACAAAAGCCGCGATAGTTGTCAATCCTTGCACCCTGAGTTATCAATCTCTGTTCTTTCAGTTGTCAATAAAAAATTTTTTGAAAAAAAAGAAAAGTAATTTGGTAATTAAACAAATAAAATTTATTGCAAAAAGGTCCTTTAAAACTTTAGAATAATTTCATGATTTTAAAGGATTTTTTTGTATTTAATTCCCTTGAGTGGGATCTAATTGTAATTCTCCTGTTTTTATCTTTTTCCTAGCGATTGAATGATTAATTTCTTTTTAACTACAAATTGGGGGCTAAATCATAGTTTTTAATTGCTAATTAGCTTTTTTCCTCCCAAAATTCAAGGAATAAATAATACTCCTTCCAATTTTAAATATAAACTATTTTTACACTACAAAATGAGTCTTATATTTAAAATCAGAAGAAGTACTAGTACTATGATAAAATGTTGTAAATCAAAGAACAAGTCTTGTCTTGATTAAGTTTTACGGCCTTAGAAGGAGAAAAAACAAGAGAAAGAAAAATTTTAATAAGCTCAAATAATATAATTATTAAAAATCTTAATAACAGGTAATTTTATTGTCGTTTCAAGTGTTGCAATTTTTCACTAATTTATTGTAAAACATTTTAATAATTACATTTTTTGAGTAAAATAATTACTTTTTTTAAACCCCCCAATATTTTTATTTTTATCAATAATAAAAAACTATAAATAGAAAATAAAATCATGAAAATATTTGTAGATATGCATCCACCTGCGTGTTACAAATACTCAAAATTAGTACATATTCATAATGATCATCACCCTCTTCCAACCATAAATAGGAAGCACAAGTATGGTTTCTTCGAAGACGCTCATGTTTTCTCAAAGGAATATTGACAAGGCTTGAGGTTAGGCGTTGGTGGCTTCTTGGAAGGAACTAGGAAGACGCACTAAAGCACTTGGTGCCAAGGAATAAAAAAAGGGACAATAAACTAGTTGATGTACTGATTTAAGGGTTAATGGGCCATATCGGGATTAGACCGAATTAAACTAGTAATAATTAAAATAATTTAATTTAATTAAAATATGTTAAAAAACTCTTATTCTAATTATGAATTTTCTTTTTTTTCTTTATCCTCTCTCTCTTTTTTATAAATTCATAGCCGATTAAGTGTTGCCTTGTAGCTTTTCTTTTTTCTTATTAGGCTTACATTTTTGCTTTTATTCTCATTCTCTCTCCTTATCTCCTGCATAAGCACTTGAAGCCTTTTCCTTTTCCTCCATTCTTTCCTCCTTCCCAATGTTTTGAAAGCTGGATTGGACACTGAACCGGTAGAGACAACGGGTTATGATTCATACGGTCGGATCGTGGTTGAACCGCGGTTGGACCGGTTATAATTAAATATATTAATATATTAATTATACATGGTATAATACTGTTCACAACATAAAAGTTTAAGGTATTTATCATTAAATTTTATTATTATAGTTTTTTTTGTGTGTTGATGATTTGAAAAATATGGTAATTATATTATTATTATTAATGAGCCACGTGAAAAGAAGGGGATTGATGAAAACGTGTGGCAGGTGAATTGTCAGCAATGGAAATGTGTGGCCGCGGATAAAGATTTGAGGAATTGAAGAGGTTGAGCTTTCACTAACATATAGTGAACGATAGTATTGAGGATTTCATTCGAGATTAAAGAGTAAGAGAACTAGGAGAGATGAAGGCCACCGGAGGCTGATACATGCTTCTCTTCTTATAAGTGATTTTCTTCTTTCACTCTCATAGTGGTTTGTTTCTGCATTACAAAGAGGCTGAGATTGAAGAGTTAAGGGTGAATTGATATTAGATTTTTCCTCTTGTTTTTCTTGATTTCATTTTCCATCTCTACTTCCTTTTCTCTCTCTAGCCGGCCGACTCTTCCAACAGTCCCGGTTCCTGGTTTTTTACCGGTTTTTGGCCTAAATACCGATTGGAAACAGCTTAATCCGGGCAAACCTTTGAAGCATCTCAATAGCATGAAACGGCCTGCCATTGTTGCTGGTTGACAGTCAGACGGGTCGAACTGTTCGGTCTGGTCCGATCTCAACAACACTACTTCTTCCACACTCATCCATCAAATCATTTGACTAATTAGCTTTCGTTTTTCTCACATCTCTCTGGACCTTTACAGACTTTTTAATGTTTCCCTAGCATGAGGCTCCCCTCTCCCCTGTCTTCCTCCTTACTTTCAATTAGCAGAGTCTCTTTCTTCTCCCCTTTCTTTCTCCTTTTCTTCCAACAACACGAGCTGCGTCTTGAGAGAGGAACACTGAGATGAAGATAGCCATATATTAAGAATGATGGCGATGGAGCAAGAAACAAAGAGTGAAAATGACGACCAGAACACCATCAAAGTTTGATTGTAAGACTGAGCTTAGAATTAGCAGATAGGCATATTTGGAATTTCTTTTCTTCTTTCTGTTTTTCATTTCTTTCTCCAAGAGTCCAGATTATATTAGAGACGGCCAGATTGGGGCTTTTTTCCCCCTCAATGACAAAGTGGGAGGGGAAAAATCACTAAACCAGCTGACCCACTCCAGCCTACGGTTTATCTGGTTTAATACTGGTTTTGATTGATTTAACCGATTTAATATTGATTTGAACGTTTCCCGATTCATCTGATAAACTAGATAGGTTCACTGGTTTTCCGGTTGAACTGGCCGGTCCAATCCGGTTTTTTCTTCCATGCTTGGTGCAAGCGAGAGGACTTTTTTATTTTTTATTTTTTTAAATTACTTCACTCAGTATCCTAAACTAGTCTCTGTATTACAGGAAACTTAATGGGCTCAGACTAATTTAGATTTTACAGGATTCCAAAGACAGCTAGCCTACCACTAAATATCTAACACTACTGCATGTCCAATCCTCAAACTTGATCACAAGCCAGAGGGCTTTTGTGACAAGAATCTTTGCTGCTGATGGATTTGCGAGCCTGATGGCCATGACTTCTCTAGAAACAATTTCTTAGGGAAAGAAGCGTTCACGATAGATGTAGCTTATGCTCTTGTACAGCATTTGAATTAAAAAAATAAAAAAATAAAAAGGCATTTTATAATATTAAGGGGTTAAAATAAAAGTTCGTATATAGTTAAAAAAAACTAATAGTGTATTTTTACTTTATATAATATCATTAGACTAACAATAAGTTCTGATATATTTTTTTTGCCAAAATAAGTTCTAATAATTTACAACAAGTGAATTTACAAACACTTATAGCTAATTTAGCCGTGGATGGCATGGGTGTAAATACTAATTAGATTAAAAATATAATTAATAGTCTTCCGATCCTTAAAGTAAGAACTAATTAATTAGTTAATATGATTTTTTTAAATTAAAACTGGATAACATTGTTAGGATTATAGTTTTGATGATAACAAAGTCAGAATATCAGGGTTAAGTATTTTGATCGATCAACTGATCGAGCAATCGGTTATCGCTAAGGTTTCAGATAAATGATCAAGTGTAAATCAGGTCTATAGTAGTCTTTTTGATCGAAGAACTATTCGATGAGTAATTTATCGATAAAGTGATCGATAATCACTATCGTAAAAATCACATAAGAGTATGGTAAATTATCGATAAGTGATCGATAATATCAGGTAAACAATCAGAGACCCAAATCTGAAGTGTATTTATCGATCAAGTTATCGATAAATCAGTCATCAATAACGACCTCGATAAAAGGTAACACAATCTACTTGTTCTGCACATTAGTTCTGTTACAATTTATCGATCATATTACCGACCATTTGTTTATCGATTACGTGTTCGAACTTTATGCTCTAACTCTCTGAATGCAGGTGATCAAATTCACTGATGGATCGATAACCTTATTGATCATAAAATTATCGATCACATGATCGATAATCAATGTCCTTACCCACTCTTACTCAGTTTTGTTACAACTAAATTATCGATAACATTATCGATAAGTTTAACTTGTTTGCTTAAATAAGTTTTCACATAACGTGATCGATAAAGAGTCTAAGAATTGACATATTCGCATTAAGTTATGGTGAACTATTTTTCGATCAAGTTATCGATCACTGGTTTTTCGATAATGTGATCGATCATTCAATTCCTCGGATTTCATGGTTTCACAAAACGTGATCGATAATCATTTCCTTTACATTAAACTTCTTCCTTCACCATTATCGATCACTTGTTCGAATGATCAATGATCGATCAACTGTTCGATCATTTCAGATAGCCTGTGTCTTTCATTGATTATTTACATAACCATGTTTTATCGATAATATAATCCATCATACATTTATCGATAAGATGTTCGATCATCAATGACTGAAGCTTCATTTCAATAACATTTGAATTATCGATAATCTGTTCGATCAAATTTGTGTTCGATCAATTGTTCGATCATGAACGATTTCCTCTTTCTATGATAAATCTTAGAGTCAATGATCCAACACTTGATCGATAATTTTGGTGATCTATTTCGAAAAGTCTTCATTCCGTTTATCGATAACTTGATCTATCATCAAGTAATCGATCACTTTTTCGATCAAACTAAACCGGAATGACACTCTGTTCTTCTTGCTGATAAATGATTTCGTCACAAATCCTTGAATGATAAATTAGCCTTCTTTTTGTTCAAGATTAAAGCACTCACCACAAAACTCTCATTTGTTCGAATCTTAAAATATGCAGATTAATGAAAACGAGTGCAACGGCTCTTCAACGGGATTACGTAGACTGCGACCTACAGTGTCAGAAACTC